TGATCAGTGTTCCCTCTAAGCGGAGTTAGTGTGAGCTAGCTCACCATTTTTTAGCCTCCAGCTCACACATTTTTGTCTCAGCTCAGGAAGGAGGGCTCCAGAGCAGCGTTCCCTCTAAGCGGAGTTAGTGTGAGCTAGCTCACAGTTTTCTAGCCTCCGGCTCACACATTTTTGTCTCAGCCCAGGAAGGGAGGGCTCCAGAGCAAACTAACTTATACAGCAGCCAAATCGCTGGCTCACAACTTTAATGCCAGGAGCTCACAAAGTAGAATTTTTGCTCACAAGACTCCAGAGCTTAGAGGGAGCATTGGTCCTGATCCACCCCCACCCCCAATGTCCAGGAGTTTGCCATCCGGGAGTTGGCAACCCTATGGAAACCGTGGCAGAGAAGGATCTTACAAGATCCCAAAGGTGATCCCCCCCCCCCATGACTCACTTCTAAAGAAACCTCCCAGCGATCCGGCTGCAAGACTTTCCCCTGCTGTTGCATAGAAGCCCTTCTAGTTCTCATCCCCCCATTCAGAAACCAGCGCTTCCCCTGCCCGCTCCTCCAGCCTTTCCTCTCCTTCGCCCCCTCCCCCACTCCTTGCTCGGCCTCTCTAGGAAGCCGCTTGTCGGTTTTAACCCTTTCAGAGCCGCAAGCAAATGAAAAAACGTCTCCCGTCCCCTCCAGGAGGACCTTCAGCCAGGCCGCCACCGACGCCCTGTGCAGCTCAATCGGGCTGCTCGGGAGGAGCTCTGCACGTGGGGCTGCGCTCCCAGAGGACCCCGTGCTGTGTTCAGCCCTCTCAGAAAAAAGGAGGCCGGTGTTCCCTCTAAGCTGAGTGAGTGTGAGCTAGCTCACCGTTTTTTAGGCTCCAGCACACACATTTTTGCCTTCGCTTAGGAAGGATGGCTCCAGAGCGAACTGACTTATGCAGCAGCCAAAGCGCTCGCTCACCACCAGTGTTCCCTCTAAGCGGAGTTAGTGTGAGCTAGCTCACAGTTTTTTAGCCTCCGGCTCACACATTTTTGTCTTAGCTCAGGAAGGGAGGGCTCCAGAGCAGACTAACTGATGCAGTAGCCAAATCGCTCAGTCAGCAGTGTTCCCCCTAAGCTGAGTTAGTGTGAGCTAGCTCACCGTTTTTTTAGCCTCCGGCTCACACATTTTTGTCTTAGGTCAGGAAGGGTGGCTGCAGAGCAGACTAACTGATGCAGTAGCCAAATCGCTCGCTCAGCAGTGTTCCCTCTAAGCTGAGTTAGTGTGAGCTAGCTCACAGTTTTTAGCCTCCAGCTCACACATTTTTGTCTTAGCTCCTAAAGGAGGGCTCCAGAGCAGTGTTCCCTCTAAGCTGAGTTAGTGTGAGCTAGCTCACAGGTTTTTAGCCTCTGGCTCACACATTTTTATCTCAGCGCAGGAAGGATAGCGCCAGAGCAAACTGATTCATGCAGGAGCCCAATCGCTGGCTCACAACTTTAATGCCAGGTGCTCCCAAAGTAGAATTTTTGCTCATAGGACTCCACAGCTTAGAGGGCGCATTGCTCACAACTATAATGCCGGTAGCTCACAAAGTAGAAGTCTTGCTGTGGTGTATTCAATCTGACAATGTATGTATGTGAACTCACTCATTGAAACACCATGTGAAGCTTCGTCCTGGGCTAGGATCCAAATCCCTCCAATCATATTGGTAGCCCAGGAAGAACCAGCCAATCAAGTACCTACCAGCAAGCTCCCTGAGCGGGAACCTCCGTGATTAGTCCTTATGTAGACAACCTAATTGGTTGGTATTTGTACAGTAAGCTTGGCTACATTAGCCGGGAGAGTTTAAAAGCAGAACAATGTAAAAGTTGTTCTGGCTATTCATGTTGATCTGTTTGGAGTTGAATTAGGAGTTGCTGAATAAAGCTGAACTTTTTGCTGAAATCACTCTCTGACTCTTTGTTAAGTAGCCGACTTAACATTTGCTCATAAGGCTCCACGGCTTAGAGGGAGCAGCATTCATCCACCTAGTTGTATAAGGACCGTAAAACTCAACGGCGGGGGGGGGGGGAGATTGTGTTAGTTGTTGCTGCTCTTCAAACAGCCGAGGGCAGACACGACCTTTCTTTCTAATGGCCCCGTGGAGAGAAAACGCAGGACCTCCAATGCGACCAGAAAGCACCCAGCTGGGAGTTTTTAAAACAATATTATTCGGGGAGGGGAGGACCAAGAGCCCGGATGCCGAAAACGGAGGCTGAATTCGAACCCCGCACCCTCCCCGTTCCGAGACGCGCTCGTCAGCCCCCGGCAATAAACTCTCCTCTTGCAGCCCGAGAGACAGAAGGAGAAAGGGAGTACCTGAACGTAGAAAAAGATCCGCCGTCTTCGCTTCTTGCAGAGGCATTAATTTAAGGGTTAAGGAGGGAGGGAGAGAGATTTTGGATGGCTCGCGAGGGAGGAGGGGCGGTGAGGTCATTTCCCGTTTAGATCCCCTCCTCCCCCCCTCCCCGTGGGAACGCGGCCTTGGATTTTCCCAGGCGAGGCAGAAGCGCCACCCGCTTTTTTTTCCCTTTTGGGGATCTGGTGAGTGGGACATGCACGGGGGGGGGGGGAGGTTAGCCATGCATGGTGACAAAAGGCAAAGAAGGGCTTGATTGGGGGGGGGGGGCGAGGAGGTGAAGCCTAAAGGGAGGGGGGCGCCTGCAATGATCCCTCTAAAGGTGTGAGCCGGAGGCTAAAAAAACTGTGAGCTAGCTCACACTAACTCAGCATAGAGGGAACACTGGTCACCTGCTATCCCTTTGCGGGTCCCCCAAAGCCCCTCCTTGGCTCCGTCCTCTGCAAAGCCAGAAGAGTCCTCCAGACACGTTCCTGGGGAGGCAGATCTGGAGCGTTCGCATTGGCTCTCGGTACGGGTTTGCAACGTAGGAGGGGATGGGGAGAAGCGGGGTGGTGGTGGTTCTGGTGAAGGATTTCTGGTTAGAGTTCCGGAGCGGGATCCACAAACACAGAGCTCGAAGGGATCCCGAGGGCCCTCTACTCCAACGCTCCCTCTAAGCTGTGGAGTCTTGTGAGCCAAAAGTTCTACTTTGTGAGCTTCTGGCATTAAAGGGGTGAGCGAGCGGTTTGGCTCCTGCACAGATCAGTTTGCTCTGGAGGCCCATCCCTCCCTGAGCGGAGGCAAAAATGTGTGAGCCGGAGGCTAAAAAGCTGTGAGCTTGGCTCACACTAACTCATCTCAGAGGGAATGCTGCTCCCTGCCAAATGCGGTACCTTGACAGCTACCCACCACCACCACCACTCCCCCAGCGGCCCCTCCTGTATGGCCGGAGGATGGGAGAAGATCTCCAGGATTCCTGGGCTAATCTGGCCTGGAGAAGAATTCCTTTCTGACCCCCAACTCTGGGAGAACCAGATTCAGATCCAGCGTTCCCTCTAAACTGAGTTAGTGTGAGCTAGCTCACGGTTTTTTAGTCTCTGGCTCACACATTTTTGTCTTAGCTCAGGAAGGATGTGGCTCCAGAGCAGACTAATTCATGCAGTAGCCAAATTGCTCACTCACATCTTTAATGCCAGTAGCTGACAAAGCAGAATTTTTGCTCACAGAACTCCGCAGCTTAGAGGGAGCATTGCTCCTACCCTGTCACATATTTTGTTATTCTTTAAGGTGCTACTAGACTCTTGCTCTTTTCTACTGCTACAAAAAGGTGTACAACTCAGCTACTGTGGTTGTTGAGAAATGGGTGGCGATTGCCCTAGGACAGTGATGGCGAACCTTTTAGAGACCAAGTGCCCAAACGGCGACCCAAAACCCACTTATTTATCGCAAAGTGCCAACACGGCAATTTAACCTGAATACTGAGGTTTTACTTTAGAAAAAACAACTCATTCATTAACTGAAGATGATCCAAACAAAGTAAGGAAAGCAATCCCAAATGCTTTCATTTATTTAAAATTATTTGGCAGAGAATTCGACACTTTAATGATGGTCTGGGCCTGGCTGGGGCGATGGCATGTGTCCCCACGGAGAGGGCTCTGAGTGCCACCTCTGGCACCCGTGCCATAGGTTCGCCACCACTGCCCTAGGACCTAGTTTGAACCCCTAAGTGGGAGGAACTCCACATGTGCTCCTCCACAATACAGGAACACACACAGTCCAGCCAGTGTTCCCTCTGAGCTGAGTCAGTGTGAGCTAGCTCACAGTTTTTTAGCCTCTGGCTCACACATCTTTGTCTCAGCTCAGGAAGGGATGGCTCCAGAGCAAACTGACTTATGCAGCCGCCCAATCGCTCACTCACAGCTTTTAATGCCACTCGCTCACAAAGTAGAATTTCTGCTCACAAGACTCCACAGTTTAGAGGGAACGTTGAGTCCAGCTCCTCTCTGAGTCTTTGTATTCATCTTTCTGTCTTGTAGGGGGAAGTCTCAGTCGTCAGTTGGGATGCCTTTGAAAAGACCTTCCCGGTCTGAGAGGACCGTAGAGGCACACTGAAAGACTTGTCCCGTTTGTGGTACTTCCCTCCCACCCACTCGTCTTAAGGAAGAAGTTGTCCGTAGGTGTTGGGTATTACAAGTTGAAAACACTCAGTATATCTGGGGTTAAATGTTAGTTTATGTTACTCACAGGAAGTCACATGTTTCTCATGCAACCAATGTTCTTTAGCTGTAGGAATGCCCGGGAATTTCCTCCCTGATCTAGGAGTTTGATTGGGACGAAAGTGCCAAGTTGTATTACCATTTTATGGCTTCTCTTCCCGTCTTTGTTTTGGTGTTCTCAAGGAGAAGAAGAGCAGCCATTCTCTCTTCTAGTTTTGTCTTTGTAGAGTAAGGATGTAGCCGATTTAGCTCTGTTGTTATCTTCATCCCAGTTACCCTTCCCCATGCTAGAATTTAGTAAAAACTTTATATTTTAATCACACATGGACTCTCAGTCTGAATTATTTTACTCAGGCTCTGCTAGACTATTTTATCTCTGCTAAATACCGTCTTTTCGATATCTCACTATCACCCAACAGTAGGACACGACGTTCTTTCAGCGTTGGATGAAGCTGTGCTGGGGAGAAGGCCGAAGATGGGAGAGCCAGTCTCAGTTGGTTCTGATGCCATCCAGGCTGTGGAGAATGAAGAAGGGTGGAGAAGAAGAGGGCAGGAAATCTCCAGAGAGGACATCATCCGCTCGGATGTACAGGCCTGGCACTTCCGGGAGTTCTGCTACCAGGAGGCCGAGGGCCCCCGCAAAGCTTACAGCCACCTCCACGGTCTTTGCCGCCAGTGGCTGAAGCCGGAAAGGCACACCAAGAAGCAGATGCTGGACCTGGTGATCCTGGAGCAGTTCCTGGCCATCCTGCCTCCAGAGATGCAGAGCTGGGTCAGGGAATGCGGGCCGGAGACCACTTCCCAGGCGGTGGCCCTGGCAGAAGGGTTCCTCCTGAGCCAGGCAGAGAGCGTGAAGCGGGAAGAGGAGGTGAGAAAATTTCATGCCGATAGAGGACTGAGAAGGGCGGGGAGGGGTATCCTGAATGTCTCCTACCCCAGGCAGATCACGAGAGGGAGGGCAGGAATCATAGAATGTTAGAGTTGGAAGGGACCTTGGAGGTCATCTAGTCCAACCCCCAGCACTCTGCAGGAGCATAGCCGAAAGATAGCCCTACAACATACCCGAAAGATGGTTGTCCAGCCTCCGCTTGAAAACGTCCTGCGAAGGAGCATCCACCACCTCCCAGGGTAGACTGTTCCACTGCTCAACCGCTTTAGGAAGTTTCTCCTGATATTTAGCCGGTAACGACTCCCTTGTAATTCCCACCCATTAGATCTAGTCTTGCAATCCGGAGCAAGAGAGGATTGATCCGCTCCATCTTCTACATGACAGCCCTTCAAATACTTGAAGACTGCAATCATGTCCCCTCTAAGCCTTCTCTTTCCCAGGCTAAGCAGACCCAACTCTTTCAGCCTTTCCTCGTAAGACTTGGATTCCAACCCTCTTACCATCCTGGTTGCCCTCTTCTGCACACGCTTGAGCTTGTCAGCATCCTTCCTAAAATGTGGTGCCCCAAACTGGACACAGGACTCCAGGTGAGGCCTGACCAGAGCAGAACAGAGCAGAACGACCACCTCCCGTGATCTGGACACAGTGCTTCTGTTAATGCATCCTAAGATTGCATTCGCTTTCTTCATAGCCACATCGCACTGCAGGCTCATGTTTAGCTTGTGATGAACCAGAACAGCCAGATCCTAGGAAGGGTTGCTTAGTACTTGTGGCCCTTTCTTACACGGCCCAGGGAAATGCTGATTGCCACTTTGGGGGTCAGGAAGCAATATTCTCCAGGCCACTTTGGCCAGGGATCCTGGAAGGCTTTTTTGTGTGTGTCATCTTCTGGGCATGGAACAGGGGAACAGTGTGTGTGTGTGGGGGAGGTATTTGTGAATTTCCTGCATTGTGAAGGGGGGTTGGACCAGATGACTCTGGGAGGTCCCTTCCGACTCTATGATTCTATGATTGTAGGTGGCCAACTTGTTCTGGAAGACAGCTTTCGCCCATGCTGAATAATGCACTTCCTTTTCTTTCTTTTTTTCTTTTGGCATTTCATTTGTATTTTTCTTTTTCTTTTTTTAACGACAAGTCTTTATTAATTTTCCAACAATACATAACAACAGATAGGATTCTTTATACACATTTTTTTTTGTTCCAGTCAACAAATCCAATACATATCTATGCAGATTTCAACTAATTATCCCTTCTGTGCCTCATTCTCCAGCCATGCATAAAATTTGAACCAAATATTCTTATATGTACATTCTTCTCTCCCTTGTAACCTCATTGTCAAGTTATCCATTTCTGCAATCTCTGTAAATTTTTCTATGAGTTCCTCCCTTTCTGGGATCGTTTCCAGTTTCCAATATTTTGCCAGGGTGATTCTTGCTGCAGTGAGCAAGTGGGTGGTTAGATGTTCATCTACTTTTTTCCAATTATCCGGCATTATGTTCAATAAAAATATCTCCGGAGCCATAGGAATTGGCTTTCTAAGAATTTGTACCATAATACTATGTATCTCTTTCCAAAACTTTTGAATTTTAGTACACGTCCACCAGACATGAAAATAGGTACCCTTCTCAGTTTTGCATTTCCAGCACTTTTCCGATACATTGGAGTAATGTATCTTTTGTATTTTTCATATGTGTGTGCGTGCGAGTGTGTGCTCACCTGGAGGTCACGGCGACCTCCAGTGACTGACCCCCTGCCGGGGGCCCGGAGGATATTCAGAGAGGTGGCTGAATGGAGCCTGCCCCCACCTCCCACCTCTGGTATTCCTTCGCGGACTCCCATCCAAGGACTTGCCAGAGTCAACTCTGCTTAGCCTCCGAGATCTGACGGGATCAGGCTGGCCTGGGCTATCCGGATCGGGGCCTGAATAATGCACTTTGAGCGCACTTTTAATGCATTCACTTGGATAAATTATTAGGAACTGTGGTCCGCAGGCTTCCCAAGTACTTACCGTGATTCGGTGGGGTCGCAGGATCATTCCTGCGGGGACAACAGACGTGCCGTACCATGCCGTCGCCAGGAAGTGACGCCGGGCGACGCTCTGACAATGGGGCCAGAAACTCGATGGTACCATTGAGTTTTCAGCCCCATTGCCAGAGCGTCGCCCAGTGTCATTTCCTGGCGACAGCATGGTGCCTTACAAGGAGAAATGTTCCGGCCGGGGAGCATGTGTTCCCCGCCGGATTGCGGTAAGTACTTGGCAACCCTAGTGGTCCACGCTACTGGGTATAGCTTGCTGAAACTAGGATCCTACTGTGTAATTTTTGCATCACTGAATGTGTCGTGTTACTACTTAACGCTTTGCTTCAGTTCTGTTTTTAGACTTCTGGTTGGTTCTACAACCCTAATCATATTGTATTAGATTAAGATGGGTAGCTGTGTTAGTCTGTATGTAGCGGTACAAAAGAGCAAGAGTCCAGTAGCACCTGGAGTGATAGAGTCATCGAATCATAGTGGGAAGGGATCCCAGGGTCATCTAGTCCAACCCCCTGCCCAAGGCAGGAAATTCACAAATACCTCCCCCTCCACACCCGCAGTGACCCCTGTTCCATGCCCAGAAGATGACAAAAAACCTCTAGGATCCCTGGCCAAACTGGCCTGGAGAAAAATGGCTTCCTGACCCAAAAGTGGTGATCAGCATTTCCCTGGACGTGTAAGAAAGGGCCACAAGTACTAAGCACTGAGGCAACCCTTCCTGCCCTCCCTCTCATGATCTGCCTCAGTTCACAAATCAGAGCCAGTTTGGGGTAGTGATTAGGAGCACGGGCTCTAATCCAGGAGAACCGGGTTTGATTCCCCACTCCTCCACCTACAGCTGCTGGTGTGACCTTGGGTCAGTCATAAGTTCTTTCAGAGCTGTTCTCTCAGGAGCAGTCCTCAAAAGAGCGCTCTCAGCCCCACCTACCTCACAGGGTGAGGAACCGCCCTATAAAGACTAACAAAATTTGTGGCAGGGTAGGCGCTTTCCTGAGTCACTGCTTACTTCTTCAGATACAGATACATACTGTGGCCCCGGTCACACGGGCCGGATATTGCAGGGGGGGGAGGCGTGGCTAATTGCCCCGGAGGAAACTAACGCACGGCCGCCCGAGCACACATCCTGATCGAGGTCCCGTGGTTCGGGGGAAATGCCGATCAGACAGGTATCCTGCTGCACGGCACAGAAGCCGCGCGGCGTGATCGCACTAGCAATCGCTCTTTGTGCGCATGCGCTGTTGGGCGCTGTTGCGCAACCTGCGGAGACGAACAGCGGCGGGCGCCGGATGCCACGTAAGTCCACCGGAAACGCGATCAGACACCCGCCCTTGGCCCGCGGTTTCAGGAAACTAGTACCTCGTAGGTACTAGTTTTTAACTCCGCACCTTCGGCGGGGAGCCACGAGTTCGCCACGGGAGCACTGCGCTTCCCAGATGTTGGGGTGAGATTGTGCCCGGGAAATCCGCGGGACTCCCGTGCCTTTCCGTGCCATCCTGTCGATTGTATTGACTCACTCTGTGTAATCCACCTTGGGTCCAAGCGACAGAAGCAGACTATAAGTTAAATAAATAAATACACTGCAAGTGGATTTTTGAAAAGCACGCAGACGGAGAGTGATTTCAGCAAAGCGTACTTTATTCGATCAGCAACAAGACAGCTTTGGCCGGCTCGCAGGCCGGTTTATATTCCCCGAGAAACCGCCTCCCCAAACACCCCACCCCTTCCCAATAGGTTATTTACAGGGGCCGAGAGTCCCATTGGCTCTCGGCCAGGAACCTAGCCCCCTGATTGGAGCGGGCTAGGATCCGCATAGTCCATTGTCTTTTGGAGCGAAGCTCGACGTTTGTCTCTGGACTTGTCTGGACTTGTCAGTACTGTGTGTCTCTGGACTTGTCCGGACTTGTCAGGCCTGGATACATTACGATTTTGCTGTTTCACACAGTAAAGTCCAGTGGCAGAGTGCATCGAAAGCGCATTATTCAGTGTGTGCGAAAGCAGGTGTCCCGTGTTCTGCGGAAGGAGCTCCCAGACTTGCCCCACCCATGGCTCTTGCCTGCAGAATCCCTTTTAAAGTTCCTCTCAGTGCTCTGTCCTGTTGTTTCAGGTGTGGGAGCCCTCACAGGACGTCACCGATCCACCCGAGGCAGAGCAAGTGGCTTCTGCTTCCAGACAGAGGTCCATGTTGATAGGGAGCCGAGAGAAGGATGACCAAAGTGCCATGGCTTTGGGTAAGGATTAACGGGGCAATTTCGGTTTGATAACACAAACACATGACGCTGTCTTACTCACACGTAGTCGTGAAACCATGTACATCCTGCGTGTACATGGATGCATTTACAAATGAAACTGATGGCTGGGACCTGGAGAAATGTGCTCGATTCGAGTCCAGTAGCACCATGGACACAAACAGGATTTTCAGGGTGTAAGCTTTCAAGGGTCAAAGCTCCCTTCATCCAAGGGCAGTTCTCAAAAGAGCTCTCTCAGCCCCACCTACCTGACAGGGTGTCTGTTGTGGGGAGGGGAAGGGAAAGGAGATTGTAAGCCCCTCTGAGACACCTTTGGGTAGTGAAGGGCGGGGTATAAATCCAACCTCTTCTTCTTCTACCTGACAGGGTGTCTGCTGTGGGGAGGGGAAGGGAAAGGAGATTGTAAGCTCCTCTGAGACACCTTTGGGTAGTGAAGGGCAGGGTATAAATCCAATCTCTTCTTCTTCTTCTACCTTACAGGGTGTCTGTTGTGGGGAGGGGAAGGGAAAGGAGTTTGTAAGCCGCTGTGAGACTCCTTCCTGTAGTGAAGGGCGGGAGATAAATCCCATCTCCTCTTCCTCTTCCTCTTCCTCTTCCTCTTCCTCTTCCTCTTCCTCTTCTTCCTCTTCTTCCTCTTCTTCCTCTTCTTCCTCTTCTTCCTCTTCCTCTTCTTCCTCTTCCTCTTCCTCTTCCTCTTCCTCCTCTTCCTCCTCTTCCTCTTCCTCCTCTTCCTCCTCTTCCTCCTCCTCCTCCTCCTCCTCCTCCTCTTCCTCTTCCTCTTCCTCTTCCTCTTCCTCCTCCTCTTCCTCTTCCTCCTCCTCCTCCTCCATGCTCTGAGACTCCTTCCTGTAGTGAAGGGCGGGGGATAAATCCCATCTCTTCTTCTTCTTCTTCAGCATCTCAAGAGACATTTCACATCCTTAATTCCCTGCAGCCATGTGCTAACCACTTCACCACTTAAAGATAATAATATAATGATAATAATAATCTTTCAATTTATTGATTGCTCAATTCTGCAGAGCTTGCTGGCTCTGAGTGATTTACAGTTACTCAATATTATGAGAGACTTAACAATGATTTGTGGGGTAGGAGAGGACAACATATATACATCTTAATTCACACACATTTGCTGCCGATGAGGGTTTCGTTCAGTTTTGAAGATGAGATGTGATCCGGATGGCATTTTTCCTCGGCCTGGTTTGATGGCATCAGCTTTTCTCCAGACTCCTTCGAGTTGTAGCGCCGCACTGCCATGCCTGGCCGGAACGGCCCATTACAGGCTTTCTTCATGCCGAGGAGATCTCTATAGGCTTTCCAATCTGGCGAGCTGGATTTCCGTTCGCCGGGTAACACCGCTCCACCCCGCGGGGCGGGGGGGGGGTTTTCAGTGTGCCCACTCTCTTTAAGGAGTGGTACCCATTTTATCTACTCACCAAAGCTTTCGAACCGCTGGGTAGACGGCGAGCTGGGGACAGGGCTGGTAGCTCACACCAGCGCAGGGCTAGAACTGACAGCAAGCCTGTTCAGCTCAGATGTTACTATTATAACCAGAGGATAAATCCTCTGTGCCACCGCTCCCCTTAAAGATACAGAGCACATCCAGTCTTTAAGTTTTCTGAATGAGGAACGAAAGCCTTCCAATTCTGATGCTGCTGGCAAGGTTCTCTCTCTTCACCATTTAAAAATACAGAACCTCTATAGCTTAAAATCGCCTACCAATAGTTACACTTACACATATTTATAATTGTGCTCTTCCGTACATAATTTCTACAGTAACGGATATTACAAAAAAGCTTACAAAGAGGAGGACAAAGTCAAGTTTTGATTCAGACCGTATGGCGTATACGTTTGTAATTTGTAAATCCAGATTGCCTCGTGGTGTAATAACACTTTGCGTACATCATTCTTGTTATACAGGTGTGGGATGAACTTCCTTATTACGAACAAATCCTAAATCCCTTTCTGTATGTTTGGTGTAGTGGTTAGGAGTGTGGACCCTAATCTGGGAGAACCGTGTTTGTTTCCCCACTCCTCCAAATGCAGCTGCTGGTGTGACCTTAGGTCAGTCACAAGTTCTCTCAGAGCTGTTCTCTCCAGGGCAGTCCTCGAAAGAGCTCTCTCAGCCCCACCTACCTCACAGGGTGTCTGTTGTGGGCAGGGGAAGGGAAAGGAGATTGGAAGCCGCTCTGAAACTCCTTCAGGTTGTGAAGAGCGGGGTATAGATCCAATCTCCTCTTCTTCTACAAAATGAGAAACCAGTGGAGTCTCCATAATCTGATTTCGAATGCGGTTCTCAGCATCTGGGATCCAAAACAAGATGAGAAATGTGAAGCAAGGACTCCCCAGATGAGCTGATGTGGCAGAAATCCATCTCTCAGAGATAAGGCGTCTCAGGCCGTTCAGTGTTTGATAAATAAGAACCGACAGCTGAAATTGGGCCAGGCGGTTAACAGAATAACATACCTCCCTACCTCCTTTGTTTCCCTCACAGGAAATGGAGGGTCACTGGCGAATCGCTCTGGGCCATCTCCTGTTTCTGGCACCTCAGGGCTATCGCTCCAGGTAGGGAAGAGATGATTTCGGAGGTCGGGTGTGAACACCTTAGGTGCCTCTTTGGTGTTGTGGTTCAGTGCGCGGACTCTAATCTGGGAGAACCGGGTTTGATTCCCCACTCCTCCACTTGCAGCTGCTGGATGACCTTGGGCAAGCCATAGCTCTGCCAGAGCTGTTCTCTCAGGAGCAGTTCTCGAAAGAGCTCTCTCAGCCCCACCTACCTCACAGGGTGTCTGTTGCGGGGAGGGGAAGGGGAAGGAGTTTGTAAGCTGCTCTGAGACTCCTTTGGGGAGTGAAGGGCGGGGTATAAATCCAGTCTCCTCTTCTTCTTCTACCTCACAGGGTGTCTGTTGTGGGGAGGGGAAGGGAAAGGAGTTTGTCAGCCGCTCTGAGACTCCTTTGGGTAGTGAAGGGCTGGGTATAAATCCAATCTCTTCTTCTTCTTTTACCTCCCAGGGTGTCTGTTGTGGGGAGGGGAAGGGAAAGGAGTTTGTAAGCCGCTCTGAGACTCCTTTGGGGAGTGAAGGGCGGGGGTATAAATCCAATGTCTTCTTCTTCTTTTACCTCCCAGGGTGTCTGTTGTGGGGAGGGGAAGGGAAAGGAGTTTGTAAGCCGCTCTGAGACTCCTTTGGGGAGTGAAGGGCGGGGGTATAAATCCAATCTCTTCTTCTTCTTCTTCTTTTACCTCCCAGGGTGTCTGTGGTGGGGAGGGGGAAGGGAAAGGAGTTTGTAAGCCGCGCTGAGACTCCTTTGGGAAGTGAAGGGCGGGGGTATAAATCCAATCTCTTCTTCTTCTTCTTCTCTCCCTACCAGGGCGTCTGTTGTGGGGAGGGGAAGGGAAAGGAGTTTGTAAGCCGCTCTGAGACTCCGAGTGAAGGGCAGAGTATAGATCCAATCTCCTCCTCCTCCTCCTCCCCTTCTTCTTCTTCGCCCTTGAACGTTTTCCCTGGGCGTTGAAGGAATCTTCCTCTTT